AAAATAAGATATGATGCAATTTTTCAAATCATAATCAATGAAAGAACCTTAGTGAGCGCGCTCACATACCCCACGTCCCCGCATTGTCATTGGAGAAATAAAATAAGTGTAAGAAAAAAAATTGAATCATAATTTCCTGTCAATATGCACATCTACATAGGTCCTTATTATCTACACAGTTTCATGAAATTCTGTTGTGTGGTTTGAGAGGAGTTGCGATGACAAAAGGTTGCAGTAGTATATTGGGCAAATAAGTTCAAAGGGGTGTAACTCCTGGAAAAAAATTGAATCGTAATTTCCTGTTGATATTCACATCTACCTAGTATGTCCTTATTATCTGAAAAGGTTTCATGAAATTCTGTTGAGTGGTTTGAGAGGAGTTGCGATGACAAAAGGTTGCAATAGCAAATAATTTCAAAGGGACGTAACTCCTGGAAAAAAAATTGAATCGTAATTTCCTGTCGATATGCACATCTACGTAGTATGTCCTTATTATATGAAAAGGTTTCATGAAATTCTGTTGTGTGGTTTGAGAGGAGTTGCGATGACAAACTGTTGCAGTAGTACATTAAAGTAAATAAGTTCAAAGGAGCGTAACTCCTAGAAAAAAAATTGAATCGCAATTTCCTGTCGATATGCACAACTACATAGTATGTCCTTATTATCTAAAAAGGTTTCGTGAAATTATGTTGGGTGGTTTGAGAGGAGTTGCGATGACAAGAAACAGGACTGACGGACTGACGGACGGACGTACTGACGGACGGACGGGTCAAAAACATTATACCCTCCGCAACCCGTTGCATGGGGTATAATAATATAATAACAACAACCAGTGATGACTAAGTTCTCTAAAATTAGATATGATTTAACACTCAAACATTGTTAGAATCAGCATATCAAAGAACCAAAGAATTCAATTTTTTATGAAATTAAACAAAAGTTTAATTTAGGACCCTTTGGACCTCAATGTGGTATTATCTTATTAATAATGAAAAGAAATACAGGTTTAGATTAAGCATTTCAAAGAACCCTATAGATATTCAATTTATGTTGGAATCAAACACACACAGTTTAATTTTGGACCCCGATTTGGACCAACTTGAAAACTGGGCCCAAAATCAGAAATCTAAATATATGTTTATTAATAGACAATGAAAGCTTAGTTTTTAAAGGAGTTCACTTCATCAAAAAAATAATTTATAGCATTCAGAAAATTAGTTTTTACCGAATAACAAACAAACTTGCCACAAAATTCTTCAAACAATTTACCAAAGAAAAGAAGAAAAAAATCAAAATATTATTTATCATTAATACAATGTCTTTTCAAAATCTATAAAACTTATCAGTAACAAGAAATAATTGTAACAGGATGCTGTTACGAAGTCTTCCAATAATTCGTCATTCCCATGGTCGCCTGACATTGGGCAAAGTCCAGTACAAATTGGTTTGTGATATGCACAAGTGATGCCTATGGATTGACCCTGTATGTCATTCAAATCTTCTTGAAATGACGAACAGGAATATATATGGTTTAGGGTGGAGATCTCGACCGTTTACAAGTTCTCAAAAGGGGGTGGGGGGTGATCCCCAGGGGACTCGCCCTTTATTTCATATGATTTGTTTTTTTGGCCCATACAAGAATATATATGGTTTAGGGGTGGGGATCTCGACCGTTTACAAGTTCTTAAACAGGAGGGGGGTGGTGATGACCCCAGGGGACTCGCCTTTTATTTCATATGATTTGTTTTATTGTCCCATACAAGAATATATATGGTTTCTGGGAGGGGCTCTTGACCATTTACAAATTCTTAAACAGAAAGGGGTGGGGGTGACCCCAGGGACTCGCCTGTTATTTCATTTGATTTGTTTTATTGTCCCATACAAGAATATATATGGTTACGGGGTGGGGATCTTGACGAGATATAAAAAAAAATAAAATATGATTTGTTTTGTTTTGTTCAATCATTAATGAAAGTGAAATAGTGAAATAATAATTCACTTTTAGCAGCCAGTTTAGTTCAATTTTGTCAAAATAAGCTAAGAAACATCGCTGATGAATTATAAGGAAGAGAATGTCAACATTGAAAGTGAAACAAGGTGAACCATTTCGTAGACTGATTCGATCCACACAAAAATCATTTTTATACAGATAAAAACGATGATTAAGTTATTGTTTTAACCTATAACATGAAATCAAACAGACATAGAAAGTCCGATTGCACAGGGTCGCTATCTATTTATACCTATGTTTACGTTTATATTGGGTTATGTGACTGTCAGCAGTCTTCGGAGGTCATCTCGATGGTTAATTAGATGGCGTATAGACTAGAATACACATGAAATGCTGATATATATTATCGAGTTCATGCATTGTTTATTGTTTATTTCAGACATATTGTAATATGGATATACGTTATAAATCATATTTAAGAATTTGAGTCAGTCGCTGAACATGAATTTGACAGCTAATGCCCCTTTCACGTATAAGTTGTTTCAGTTGTAATTTGTCTTCTCAATCGTTTGTTTTTATCAAACTGTTTGTATATATTTGTATATTGGCCTCACACTTGTATTCGGAAATGTACTAAGGATTTATAGTTAATAAGGGTCTGATCCCGGATCCCGCTTATTGTATTGTCAGATTGCTGTATCCCGCTTATAATTGTAATAATAACGTTTGTAATTTCACGTGTCCAGCCAGATTCGTTTCCCGTTTTCACGCACAATAATTTGACTTTCACGAGTCACGCTTAAAAAAAAATCGGCCAATCCCGCGTCACGCTTAGACCCTAACGAGACCCACTTAATATTACTGAAAATGAATTAAATTGGTCATGTCCAAGGCGAGACAGGATGCATATACCATTTTGCTGTTGGTATGACTGACATAAATTCTCAAATATCAATGATTATAGCCGATTATAACATTTCTTTTTATGTCAGTAATCCGGTGTGTGTTACTAGGAGAATTGAAACTGATTTACTTTTTGGAGCACCTGAGTTTATCGATTTTGTTTTCGCGCATACGTAGTGGAAAATTATGTTTTCCGGTTTGTGTTTCCGTCCGTTTATCCATCCGTGCTTTATCAGGTTTATGTTTTGGTTTAAGATAAGTTCATTTTTGGTTTAAGATAAGTTATGGTTTGGTTTTAGATAAGTTATGGTTTGGTTTAAGATAAGTTAAGGTTTGGTTTAAGATAAGTTAAGGTTTGGTTTAACATAAGTTAAGTTTTTGTTTAATGTAGTTTGTGTTGATACTTTGAGAAACTTCATACACACATCCAATGTGAAGTGAACTGTTTAATATGTAAATAGTAAGTTTATTGTCCCCCGAGGTGCAACTATTGCCCTGAGGCGTAGCTGAGGGCAATAGTTGTATCCGAGGGAACAATAAACTTACTATTCTACGAATATCCAGTCACTAAGTGTTTTATTATACCGAAAGAAACAACAGACAATAAATGTCAGGGCTAAATCAACTATCGTAATATAAAAAGCAGAAACACAACCATACTGTTTAACGTTTACTTTATATATATTCTGAATGGTAAGACCCTAGATACAATAGGTAAAACGCGACGTCGCAACTCCCGCGGTATTATAAACATCCTCCAATCCCATAGCTGCATTTAAAATTCCGCGAAATATAATGACGCTTGCGGTCAAATAGTTTTATCGAGGTCCAATGGTTGGAAACTATTGACCTCTCAAATAGTTCAACACTTGCAATTTGAAAAATAGTCAAAATATTGTGTACTTATTTTATATAGAAAATAAATGTGGATAGTGTCCACATGTGGACACAGATGATGCCCCCGCCTGCATATCATATAGTTATAAAGGGACATAACTGAAGAAATTTGAACTTGATCTGAGTTTTGTGGTAATAAGCATTGTGTGTAAGTCTCATAACATTTGGTTGAGGCTAACTTAAGTAGAGAACAGAAACTAAAAATTTAGCAATTTTTCTATTTGTAAACACGCATAACTCTAGAACGGTTGTGTATAAGTTTTATAACATTTGGTTGAGACAAACTAAAAAATTCAGCATTTTTTATGTTTATAAAGGGACATAACTCAAGAAAGGTAAAAGTGTTGCCACCAAATTTCGTACTTAATCTGTATTATGTAGTAATAAGCATTGTGTATGAGTTTCATAACATTTGGTTGAGGCAAACTAAAGTTAGAAAACGGAAACAAAAAATTTGTACTTGATCATAGTTTTGTGGTAATGAATATTGTGTATAGGTTTCATAATGTTTGGTTGGGGCAAACTAAAGTTACAGAATGGAAACTAAAAATTTTGCAATCTTTCGATTTATAAAGGGGCATAACTCAATAATGGTTAAAGTGACACTTCCCAAATTCAACTTGATCTGTGTTTTATCAGTGGAAGTAAAATTAAACATTGCATTGTATAAAGCATTGATTGTAGTTGATTCAACTATAATCATGGACAAAGGAAGACAACTCCAATTTTAAGAATTACTTGATATTTAGAAGAAAATAAAAAATTTGCAATTTTTCCATTTTTAAAGGGGCATAACTCTAGAACGGTTAAAGTGACGCCACCAAAATTCAAATTTGCTCTGTGTTTTGTGGTAATAAGCATTGTGTATAAGTTTCATAACATTTGGTTGAGGCAAACTTAAGTAAGAGAACAGAAACTAAAAATCTTGCAATTTTTCCATTTATAAAGGGGCATAACTCTAGAACGGTTAAAGTGACGCCACCAAAATTCAAACTTGATCTGTGTTTTGTGGTAATAAGCATTGTGTATAAGTTTCATAACATTTGGTTGAGGCAAACTCAAGTTAGAGAACGGAAACCAATTTTGGGACGTACGGACAGACGTACGTACAGACGGACAAGGGTAAAACTTAATGCCCCCTCCGCTACGGCGGGGGCATAATGATTACTGAGGTATAATAACATCTTTTATTACATTGATTGTGTCTGTCCTTTCCAGTCCATTAAGCGTCTATTTCTATTTGCCTTACCTTGTTATTAGGCAAAGCTATTCCAGGATTCTCTGCAATAACCTTTCGAACAACAAGAGGGAAAAACTTGATATTTTGTGCTGCCCACAGAGCTTCGATGTTAGCTACTGTACCCCCACAAGTGATGTGAACCCATGGTTTAGGTGTACTGTGTGTCTCGTATCCAAGCATTTCACATAGTTGTTCTCCAACTTCAACTTCCATGGCAGTGGTTACAGGCCCTCCAGCACAGTCGATGTTATTGGAATTATAAAGTATATCCGCTAAGTACCCAAGTGTTCCCGATAATGTTGTGTCGCTAACTGGTAGGCCCTAAAATCAATTTCGACATTATATTTATAGAGATAAAAAAATATTCTCAAATAATGATTGTACAGATTAATGACTGTATTTCTTATGTAAATAAAATGCTCCGCTGGGCGCAGCTTGATACGACCGCAGAGGTCGAACCCTGAACAGTTGGGGCAAGTATGGACACAACATTCAAGCTTGATACAGCACTGAATTTGGATTGTGATTAAATATTTGACACATCATAGGTTTCTGACACAGAATGAATGTGGTCTAAGAACTTAAAAATTTAATTTACCTATTCAAACCATATCATTATTATTTGCTTTTATATATAAATCAGAAATAACCAATTTAAAATGGAAAATTTTAAAGACAAAAAAAGGAACTAGAGGCTCTCCAGAGCCTGTGTCGATCACCTGATTCAACTTTGGTTTTGGAAATCATGTAAAAATAGATTAAAATCATAACAGATACCCTAATAATGAGTGAGGCCAAATTTGGTTTAATATTGGTCCTGTAATTTAATAAAAAATCCTGGTGGCCATCTTGAACAGTAAATTGGCAACAAATTAGCAACACTTAATCAGCACCTCATAAAAAACATTTATGCCATGTTTTGGTTTCATTCCATTCAGTGCACCTCTAGAAGAAGCATTTGTATGTATTTCCCATAGGGTCTTATGTTAAAGGAAGTCCCCCCATTGGCAGCCATCATGGATGAAGGATCAGCTTCAAAGTTACAAAACTTAGTCAGCACCTCATAAGAAACATTCATGCCATGTTTGGTTTCAATCCATTCAGTATGTGGTTCTCTAAAAGAAGACATTTGTATGTATTGTCCATAGGGTCCCATGTTAAACATTGTCCCCATCTGGCAGCCATCATGGATGAAGGATCAGCTTCAAAGTAACAACACTTGGTCAGCACCTCAAAAGGAACATGCATGCCATGTTTGGTTTCATTCCATTCAGTGGTTCTCTAAAAGAAGACGTTTTTATGTATTTCCCATAGGATCCCATGTTAAACTAAGTCCCCCGCTGGCAGCCATCTTGGATTATGGATCCGCTTCAAAGTAACAACACTCGGTCAGCACCTCATAAGGAACATTCATGCCATGTTTGGTTTCATTCCATTCAGTGGTTCTCTAAAAGGAGACATTTGTATGTATTTCTCATAGGATCCCATGTTAAACTAAGTCCCCTGCTGGCGGCCATCTTGGATTATGAATCGGCTGCAAAGTAACAACACTTGGTCAGCACCTCATAAGGAACATTCATGCCATGTTTGGTTTCATTCCATTCAGTGGTTCTCTTAATGAAGACATTTGTTTGTATTTCCCTTAGGGTCCTATGTTAAACTAAGTCCCCTGCTGGCGGCCATCTTGGATTATGGATCGGCTTCAAAGTAAAAACACCCTGTCAGCACCTCATAAGGAACATTCATACCATGTTTGGTTTCATTCCATTCAGTGGTTCTCTAAAAGAAGACATTTGTATGTATTTCCCATAGGGTCCTATGTTAAACTAAGTCCCCCGCTGGCGGCCATCTTGGATGATGGATCTGCTACAAAGTAACAACACTTGGTCAGCACCTCATAAGGAACATTCATGCCATGTTTGGTTTTATTCCATTCAGTGGTTCTCTAGAAGAAGTTCAAAATGTAAAAAGTTAACGCCGACGCCGGAACACGACGGACGCCAAGTGATGAGAAAAGCTCACTTGGCCCTTCGGGCCAGGTGAGCTAAAAAAAGGAAACCCCCCCCAATTTTTTGAACCCCCTTATGGTTCATCACCCCCAAACTCAATCCCAGCCTTCCCTTTGTGGTATGGTTCCTTGCAGTACAATTTCAGAGAGATCCATACACTTGAACACAAGTTATTGTCTGGAAACTAGAAAAATGCTTGTTTTTTGGCCCCAAATTCCTAAACTTTTTGGGTAATTACCCCCAAACTCAATTCCAACTTTTCCTTTGTGATATGGAACCTTGTAGTACAATTTCAGAAAGATTCATACACTTATATTGATCTGATAGTTTCCCACATGGAAACTTCTTATGGATTCCATCTGACCACATGTCTCAAACAAACCTGAAAATATCTACAGAAACTTTCCTCAACAAAAAAATATAATCCAAAACATAAAATATAAGATGTAAGGATAACAATATTTATCCATGAAACCATTTTGGCAAAACAATTTCAATGATGTTGAAGGATCCTCTCTGCAAACATTTTCACGTCCACTCTCATCGGCATGCTCGACTCATCGATCTGTGAAAGAAGAGTGTGCCATATTCCGATGTAAATAAACTACGATTCACACCTCCTGTTTACAGCCAGAGTTCCATTTTACGATACACTTACGATGATACACAGTGTGTAACTTGCGATCAACTTAGTAGTCCTTTACGATGCCTTTGTGAAACACACGTAACGTGAACGTAGAACCACACGTAAACGGATCGTAAAATGATACGGTGGTCGTAAGTTAAGAAGGCTTTGTGAAACGGTGGCCAGGACTTTATTCTTTATATTTTTAAAAAATCTCAATTACAATACCAAACGATATTGTATTTTCCTAAACGATAGTCTTACATAAACAAGTCAGGTACAAGATATATTCTAAATCTACTGACAGACTTCATACATGGAAGAAGCTAGCATTATCCATTAACTTCACGTTCCCCTATAGATGTCCTCTCAATAAACAATTGAAGTTTAGTGACAACGAGTATGTTGAACACATCTATCCCATTGAACTTGAAATAAAGGATACCACAGATACAGTCAAGTCTGTTAATCTTTACGCCACTTATTCTTCACTGATGTAAAATTAATCAACAAAATATAAAATCACAAGATGAAACGGAAATTTATATCAGAAAATAAAAAAAATAATTAGAAGTAGTTCTAGTTACATACCACAATTCTTGTGCTCGCAAAATTTGGAGATTTTTGTAATTCCTGGCATATTTTCCCCAATTCTTTTTCCAACTTCTCAATATGGTTCTTATACGCTTCACTTTGCCTGACGTCTTCTGTTATGCATCCTCGATCTAATGGGAATAATCTTTGTCGAAAGTTTGCAGTTTCAGAAAACGAATATACAGATAGTTTTTGCAATATGTCGATATTTTCTAATTTTGGCCCAAGGAACCATGCAGCCAGTGTTTCAATTTGAAGACGTTCAGAGGAGGTATCGTCCATAATGTCACCAATACTGTATATCCTTTGCTGAAAGTTTAATTAAAGCTATAAGAAAACTTCAAAGTCAAGATCTAATAGTAATTTCAAAGAATCATCATCAGATGTTTTCAAAATCCCATTTCGACAATACACCTTATCGCTATTTATCCGCCATTACTGGACATCACACAAGTTCCCGTAAAATTTTGACGTCATAATAGAAAATATCTGACGCCACAATGGAAAAGTGATTGTTGTATGACGTCAAAAGTTCGAGCGGGACAGATTCTTGGGTCAAGCGGGAATAGCGATAAGGTGTATTGTACTGGTGTACGTAGTATTTTTTCAAATATACAGATGTAGGACTCAAATCTATGGTGGGTTCCAGATCTATGGCAAATTTCTGCAAATTCCTAATCTATGGTAAATATGATGTCACAAACGCCAAACAAATCACAAATCTATGGCAGTATTTTGTTTTCTCCAAATCTATGGCAGATTTGGATACTACGTAATTTTCCGTCACAATTAAATAACGTCATGTAACGTCGAAGCTGCCGCTGACGACGACGGTTTTGTTATACAAAAGGAAAGGAAAAAGATCGAAAAGCAAGTTTGCAAGGATCCAAATTAATAAATAAATTATAAATCAGAATTGTGTTTGTTTCTACCCTTGTTTTCTTCTTCTCGTGTTGCTGGTGTTGGCATCACCCTTAATTGTACGAGCTTTTACCGTGCATTTTGGTTTGCTGTTGTGTGTTTTCTGTGCTATTTTTTGTATTCCTATGATCTCTTTAATTTTCTGTAAGAAGTAACACAACATGAAGTATTTTGTCAGCTATACAACAGTGAATACTGTTGTGCCACGATTATTTACAGTATTCTTTTAATAATAACCTTCATTCATTGCTTTTCATTTGTATTTCCCGGTGTATATTTTCCGCAAAACTAGGTCATACATATTTTCACTTTTGTACACTTGCTTGTTATGCGGAATGATTTTCTATAGTTACAACATAATTACCTTATTCAAAAGTTATTAATGCATCCTATTTTATCCATAGTTATCCTTTTATAATGTTAGAATTATCCAAAATCATACTTGTCAAGTTAAAGGCCATTTTGGTTTACTTTCACAATTGTGTACACGCGTACTATTTTTAGGTGTATTGATTAACTTGATCTTTCAAACGTTTAGAGAAAAGTATAGTCAGTTTCAAATTATAGCCGCTGGCGAACAGCTGAGTTTCAGACAGTGACCCAGAATTATTTATTCAGGTATTTTGGCACACACTGCAATTCTATTTAATTGATTTATTAATAACTATTGTTAATGATATTAGCTTTTAATAAAGCTGCTTTTATTTATTTAAACAAATCTTATTTCTTGATTATCCAAAGTTTGGACTTCAAAACAGTTTTATTACTTTGACTTTAATTGATATTTGTATAATATCTGCCAAACCATTTACAATAACGGTTGGCGTTTCAATTGGTGGCAGCGGTAAAAACATCATTTAAAAAAAAAAAAAAAAAAAAGGAAGGAAAAAAGTAATACATAAAAAAAAAAAAAAAAAAAACAACATACAAATCAGCTTATATTGAAACTCAAAGTGTGGTTTTCATATAAAATTATTGAACACCAAGAGTTATTGAAATTCAAGGTGTATTTTTCCATATAAAATACTGAACACCAAGAATTATTGAAATTCAAGGTGCATTTTTCCATATAAATTATTGAACACCAAGAGTTGTTGAAATTCAAGGTGTATTTTTCCATATAAAATATTGAACACCAAGAGTTATTGAAATTCAAGGTGTATTTTTCCATATAAAATATTGAACACCAAGAATTATTGAAATTCAAGGTGTATTTTTCCATATAAATTATTGAACACCAAGAGTTATTGAAATTCAAGGTGTATTTTTTCCTTATAAATTATTGAACACCAAGAGTTATTGAAATTCAAGGTGTATTTTTTCCTTATAAATTATTGAGCTCCAAGAGTTATTGAAATTCAAGGTGTATTTTTTCCTTATAAACTATAGAACACCAAGAGTTATTGAAACTCAAGGTGTTTAATTCCATATAAAATAATTGAACACTAAGAGTTACTGAAACACAAAGTGTATTTTTCTTAAAATATTTTAATAACATTAAAGGTAACTGAAATTAAGTATTAATTCAGTCTGGTATATTAAATATGAATTTAAGACACAGACAATTACCACTTCCAATGTTTTTAAATAATAGAGGGGGAGGGTCCCCAAGAGCTCCCTTATATAGTGTTAATTCCAATTTTTCGGACTTAACAAGAGAAAATGAGACACAATTTGTTTCAAATAGTGGGTTATCAAATATGCCAAGTTTACATGGTTCTTCAAGTCAACTTACCTTGCCTGCTTTAACCAGTAATAATTCATTAAATGAACCGGGGGTGTCAATGATAAGAGGCAGTGCACAGAGCATTAATGTTCCTGTACAGAGTGCACTGAGCACAACTGTACAACATCAGAGTGCACCAAGCACATATATTCAAACTCAAGGTGCACCTAGCACATGTATTTCATCACAAAGTGCATTGAGCACTGGTCATTATACCCAAAGTGCACTGAGCACTGGTCATTATATCCAAAGTGCACTGAGTACTGGTCCTTATACCCAAAGTGCACTGAGCACTGGTCCATATACACAAAGTGCACTGAGCACTGGTCCATATAACCAAAGTGCACAGAGCATTGGTTCATATACCCAAAGTGCAACAAGCACATTTGTTCAAAACAGTAGCGCTTCAAACACTTATGCAAAAGTACAAGGTGTACCAAGTACATGGTCCTTTTCCACGGGAGGAATAAGCACATCTTATGCATCTAATCCATTTCATGATCAGACAAAGACGGCTAATATACCACAAATTACATCATTCAGTGACACCAGTTTCAACAGACCAATCAGCCATAATAATGGTGATGACCAACAAGAAGTATTTAAATTGAGAGAGAAAATAAGGGAAATTGAAAATGAAAGAGATTATTACAGACAGCAGAATAACCAACCAGATAATACAAGACAGCAAAATTTTCAATCAGGAAATACAAGACAGCAGAATATCCAACCAGATAATGCAAGACAGCAAAATTTTCAAATTGAAAATGAAAGAGATTATTACAGACAGCAGAATAACCAACCAGATAATATAAGACAGCAAAATTTTCAATCAGAGAATACAGGACAGCAAAATTTTCAACCAAATTATACTAGACAGCAAAACAACCAAATGAGATACAGAACAGACTCCACATCTAGCATGCAAGATAGTTATCACTCAAGACTACCATTCTACAATGGAAGAAGTGACTGGAGTACATTTCAGATGCAATTTGAAATAATTGCTGAAAGAAATAATTGGGACCCAAGACGTCAAGCTGAGGAAATATTACTGGTGCTTAAAGATGAAGCTGCAAAATTTGCATCAGAGCTACCGTATGAAACAAGGAGCTCGTTTCGACTTTTATCCAAAGATATGGAAAGAAGATTTGGAGATAACAAGCTGCCTGAAACCTACAGAAAAGAGTTGCAATTTACCAGAAAAAATTACAAGGAGTCAGTAAATGAATATGCTGCTCGCATTCAGACAATGGTCAGGAAGGCATATCCAGGCATGGATAATCAACTATTCAACAATATTTCAATTGAACATATGTTAAATGGATTAAATGATCAAAGTATTGCCTATGATGTATTGACAAAAAGACCTAAAACTATGGAGGAAACAATCAATCTTGTAGCATGGCATACTACATGCAAAAATGGATTGAGAAGCAAAACTCAAATAAGGCAAATTGAAATTGAAGAAGAAGAAACGTCTTTTGATGCTGATCAGTCTGATGACATAGAAGTGAGACGAGTTGGAGGTAAACGATTTGTAACAGAGGAGCGTCTTAATCAGTTTGGTAGAGAGATGAAAGAAAGTATCACGACTGAAGTAACCAAGTCTATTGAGAACATAATGAACACAAGACTACCAACATCAAATACATACCAGCCTAAGAAGAATTTTAACAGTCAAAATTCAAGATGGCATAACAAGGACAAAAACCAGAAGCAAAACAACACAAGATGCTATGCATGTAATGAAGAAGGACATTATGCAAGGTCATGTCCTAACCAGAAACAGACACAAGGACAGGTTTCAGACAGAAATCCGTTAAACTAAATCGGGCTGAGACTAATGGCCAAGTGTCAGCCCGCAATTGCAAAATTAAAACAGACTTAGTAGATATAAACCAGACAAATGAGGATCAAGTAGATAGAAACATTGAATGTGTGTTTCTTGGTAAGGGGATTGAAAATCAAATGGTGAACTCTGCCAGTAAGAAAGAAAGTACAGATTTTGTTGCTGAGCCTATACCGGAGGACCAAGGTCTCTCTTTAAATGGTGATAGTGGTCAGGATACAGGTGCTGAAAAGGACGTGATATTTAACAATAAAGAGGAAATTGTAATTGATCGCGTAACAGCAGCCAGTATTAAGGTACCAATGGAAGTCAGTAATAAAAAAAATAAAAGCTGTAATTGATACTGGAGCAGAAGTTACTGTTTTAAATGAAGACATATTTTTCCGCCTTCCAAAAACAAGCAGATCAAAGTTGAAACCAGCACTGAAAAAACTAGTTGTTGCCGAAGCAGGGAAGCAATTGGGAACAAAAGGTATAGCAGCAGTGACGTTAACACTTGGAGACTCAAAGTTTGTCTGGGATGTATATGTAGCAACAATTGGTGATGATTTGTTGCTAGGCTGTGATGTCCTTGATGAAATGGATATAACAGTAAACTCTAGAAAAGGAATTCAACTGAATGGAAAATGGATTGAGTGTGAAGTTAACCGCAAGTCAGACATGATAGCAAGAGTGGTTTTAACTGAAAATGTAACCGTTCCAGCCAATTCTGAGATGATATTATTTGGTGGGAGTGATAATACTGATGCTATAGATACCAGATATACCATGCTTCAACCAGTGGTTGAGGATAATCGGAAAATTATGGTTGCACAAATCCTTGTTGACCCTTTTGAAAAAATCATCCCCGTTAGACTGGTCAATATGGAGGACCACCCTGTACAGTTGAAAAGAAATTATTTAATAGGAGAGTTACATCCAGTTACAAATATTACACAGTTTGATGACATCCAAAACAGTACAAAACCTTTGGACGATAATACCAAGAATATCTGCAAGTTGCACAATTTGAAGATGAATATGAGCCTTACAGATGAACCAGTAGGTATTCCTGATGACTGGAATAGTACCATTCGGAAATGTAAAGCAGAAAATTCCTTGGAGATGGATGATAAATGCAGAAATGAGGCCAAAATTCCTGCATTACCAGATCATCTTAAGGATTTATTTGAAAGAAGTAGTAAAAACATAGCAAATGAAGAGACCAAACGAAAGCTTTCAGATATGCTCCTCAAGAACAGCAAGGCATTTGCTGGTTCTAAAACTGATGTTGGAACATGTTCCTTTATAAAGCATAGAATAGACACAGCTGGTGCAGCACCAGTAAGACAGCCACTTAGGACACCAATAGGATTTGAGAATGAAGAATTTGAGAACTTACAAGATCAACTTAAGACGGGAGTTATCAAACCATCAAAATCAGCATGGGCTTCACCTGTAGTACTTGTTCGGAAGAAAGACAACTCTGTGCGCTGGTGTGTGGATTTTCGCAGAGTCAACGATCTTACAATTAAAGATGCCTACCCAATTCCTCGCATAGATATGTGCCTTGATTGTCTAGCGTCAGCGTCCATATTTTCATGTCTCGATCTTCAAAGTGGTTATTGGCAGTTACTGGTAGAAGAATCAGACCAACCAAAGACTGCATTTATTACCAAGTATGGCCTGTATGAATATACAAAGATGCCTTTTGGACTCTGCAATGCCCCAAGCACTTTCCAGAGATGCATGGAGTTGATATTTAGAGGACTTCAATGGCAAACACTCCTGATATATCTCGATGACATTATAATTTTTAGTTCTGATGAAGAAGAACATCTTAAAAGACTAGATGAAGTTTTTTCAAGACTTATAAATGCAGGGCTCAAGCTTAAACCATCTAAATGTGATCTGTTAAGAGAAGAAATATTATACCTAGGCCATGTGGTAGGAAAAGAGGGAATAAAGCCAAATCCAAAGATAGTACAGTCCGTACATAGCTGGAAAGTTCCATCAACAGCAAAAGAGATTCAACAATATCTTGGTCTATGTAATTATTACAGGCAGTATATATTCAAATTTAGTGACATTGCAGCTCCACTCAGTCATCTTACCAGAAAAGATGTACTTTTTAAATGGACACATCCCTGTAAAGAATCTTTTGAAAAATTGAAAAACGCACTGACAACATCACCAATATTGGCATACCCACAATCAGATGGAATGTTTATATTGGACACAGATGCATCTAATATAGGTATTGGCGCTGTGCTGTCTCAAATCCAAGAAAACAAAGAAAAGGTTATATCATATGCATCAAAGAAGCTAGACAGGGTACAACAGAGGTATAGTGTCACAAGACGAGAACTACTTGCAGTTGTCACATTTATACAGCAATTTCGGCACTATTTGCTTGGAAGAAAATTTTTGCTGAGAACAGACCATGGATCATTAAGATGGATATTTGCATTTAAAGACCCTCAGGGACAGTTAGCACGATGGATTGAAAGTCTTAGTCAATACAATTTTGACATTCAACACCGTCCAGGTACAAAACATTTGAATGCTGATGCAATGTCTAGAAATTCTAATGAAAATGATCTTTGTATACATTTGAAAGAGGGAAATCTTGATTCCAGTTGCACTGAATGTATTGAATGGAAACAAGAATGGTCAGAATTTAGAAAAAAGGTTGATAATGTAAAGAATTTAACTGATAAACCTATGATAAGGAATGTAACACAGTCAAGCCATAGTCATTGTTCCAGTTGGCTAACTAAATACACAGAAAAAGAGATGAGTACATTCCAGAAAGAAGACCCAGATTACAGTTTTTTACATAAATGGATGGATGAAGAAGAAACACCAGATAGAGATAAATGTGCCAGTTTCAGCCCAGCAGTAAGACATTATTGGCTGAATTGGAGTAATATTGTCCGTATTGGTGGAGTAATATACCAAAAATGGAGAGAAGTTAAAAGTGAACAAGATCACTTACAACTTCTAGTACCAGCTGTTATAAAGAAAGAAATAATAATCAGCTGTCACGATACTGCATATTCTGGTCATTTTGGTATTAAGAAATCAGTCCAGAAAATGAAAAATTATTTTACATGGTATCAAATGACAAAAGACGTCAGAATACACATAGAAAATTGTGTAATTTGTACTAAAAGAAAAAGTAGAAAATCAAAAGCTGGGTTGGTTGATTATAGAGTGGGTTACCCTTTAGACAGAGTTAGTATTGATGTAATTGGACCTTTACCACAAACACAGAGGAGAAATAAATATTTATTGGTAATAGGAGATAATTTCACCCGTTGGATGGAAGTTTATCCTTTGCCACATCAAAAGGCTGATATTGTGGCACATAAGTTTGTAATGGAATTTATAACGAGATTTGGAATACCACTAGAACTGCACAGTGACCAAGGCAGCAATTTCCAGAGTGAATTGTTTAACGCTGTCTGTAGCATATTAGAAATAACAAAGACCCGGACAACACCTTACCATCCTGCCTCAAATGGGCTTATTGAGAGGTTTAATCGTACCCTGGCAGGAATGATAAAAAGTTTCATCAACAAGAATGCTACAGACTGGGATGTAAACATCAATCTACTACTGGCAGCTTATCGTAGTACACCACATCCTGCTACAGGCTTCTCACCTAATTTTTTAATGCTAGGTCGAGAAATAAGTATTCCAATAAAATTGATATATCCACTGCCAGACCAGAAATATGAAGGGCAAAATGAGTATGCTCTAGATCTTCAAGATAGATTACAAGATATGTATCATATTGCCAGGAAACATCTCAAGACCAATGCAGAACGACTTAAAAAGAATCATGACACTAGACTGACAAAACATATATATAAAAAGGGAGATCTTGTATATAAATTTGACAAAACTATAAAACAAAAATTTAAATCCCCATGGCTTGGTCCCTATTTTATTTCAAAAGTTTTGAGCACAGTGGTCTATGAAATCTGTTTTAAATCTAGAAATGAAGTTGTTCATATAGATAAATTAAAACCGTATGTAGGTGAAATACCAGACTGGGTTAATAGAAAACTCAATCAATTAGAATAAATGTTATGTTAAGAGTAAACATACACATTTTATACATGTATTTATTTATTCCTGTATAAAAATAATATTTTAGACTTGTTAATTTTATAAAGTATTAAGTATTGATTAATTTTATTCTTACAGAATTATGGTACTGTTTCAATGTTCGAAGTGTCCTTTCCGAGGAAATACGAAAAACACAATTCAACATTTTATAATTAAACATGCTTCGGTTGACCGAGTCCCATTTGTATGCAAAACCTGTAACTTTAAAACAATTTCCCATGCTAAATGGCAAAGACATTTAAAGGATCTTAAAAAACCTCATGTTAACAAAGAACATATTTGTATGAAAAGTATTAATCCTTATGTGGTGATTGTGGGTGAAGACATTACAGAAATTGAATCAACATGTATAAATGACAAAATATTTATACAAGAAGAAGAGGAGATTGAAATTGTGGAAGTAAATATTGACCCCAAAGATGAACAAATTTTGGAATTAGAGAATAAATTGGTAGAAATGAAATCAACACATGAAAATCAACTTAAAGACTTAGAAGAAAAGCATACATTTGAGTGCCTTCGATTTGGGAATTTTATAGAGAGACTGGAAAAGAGGAAGACAGATCTTAAAGAAGAAGTGAGAAAACTCCAAAATAGATTAACCGAGACTCAACCCAAATCCTCTAAGAAGATCAGAAGTTCTGTTTGTGTCATTGAATCAAGAAAATAGAAAGAACTTTTTAATTATATTGAACTTTTTAAAATGAATGAGACTTATTGTGATATATACATGTATATTGTTTTACTGTTATATATGTATGCTTCTTATGTTGAAAAATTGAATATATATTCATTTTATTTCATGTCAATTCTAGGGACAGAATTCTTTTTTCTTTGAGAGGAGCAGTGTTGTGCCACGATTATTTACAGTATTCTTTTAATAATAACCTTCATTCATTGCTTTTCATTTGTATTTTCCGGTGTATATTTTCCGCGAAACTAGGTCATACATATTTTCACTTTTGTACACTTGCTTGTTATGCGGAATGAGTTTCTATAGTTACAACATAATTACCTTATTCAGAAGTTATTAATGCATCCTATTTTATCCATAGTTATCCTTTTATAATGTTAGAATTATCCAAAATCATACTTGTCAAGTTAAAGGCCATTTTGGTTTACTTTCACAATTGTGTACACGCGTACTATTTTTAGGTGTATTGATTAACTTGATCTTTCAAACGTTTAGAGAAAAGTATAGTCAGTTTCAAATTATAGCCGCTGGCGAACAGCTGAGTTTCAGACAGTGACCCAGAATTATTTATTCAGGTATTTTGGCACACACTGCAATTCTATTTAATTGATTTATTAATAACTATTGTTAATGATATTAGCTTTTAATAAAGCTGCTTTTATTTATTTAAACAAATCTTATTTCTTGATTATCCAAAGTTTGGACTTCAAAACAGTTTTATTACTTTGACTTTAATTGATATTTGTATAATATCTGCCAAACCATTTACAATAACGGTTGGCGTTTCAAATACCTGTACTATTGTAGCAAATAATCTTTCTTGAGATTTGGAAATTAAAATAAATATGACATAGATTTCTAATAGATATTAATATCGTTTTCCGCTATAAATATGTCGAATAACTGTACTGTTGGAGAAATAAGGATTTTTTTAGAAAGTCACGTGTTTGAGGCGAGTCATTGTTCATTAAAGGACTTAAATCGTCATCAGTCGAACAAGATTTATATTATTCAACGCTCAAAGGATATGTTAAAAATTCAAACTGCTTTTGTGTTGTTAAGGGACTTGGTTAAATAAAGGGTCAAACAGGTACTATGCACAGAGTAGGAAATAATTATTCTTCCGGGCACATGATTTCAACCCTAAAGTCTGTGTTCATTTAACAAACGGTTATGGATATGCTTTCTAGTAATAGTCCTAATTTGTTTTTCTTATACTGTTTTTTACTTAAAAGCAGCTCTTTTGCTACCTTTGGACATTTCGACCTCGAAATCATTGGTCAGATATGTACTGACTGGTCCGACCTTTGTAGAAAATCTGTCATAGATTAGAAATCTGGAAATCCGCAATTGATTAGGATTCTAAAAAAACTGCCATAGATTTGGGATGGCATGACGTCATATTTACCATAGATTAGGAATCTGCCATAGATCTGGAACCCGCCATAGATTTGAGTCTTACATATATAATTATACATTACACATCACTAAAGCTAAAGTTGCTTAATACAAGTTTTCATTAGTGTAAAGAGATTTTTAAATCATAAAATTTTATTTTTTTTCACTTGAACTGATGCGCCGTTGAAGCTTGAGGGTCCTAAGTTAGGTTTTTATAATGCCCGATAGGATTTTGAGAGGTTGATGAACACAATTTTAAATCGTAGAAATATTGCTTTATAGTTAAAAGATAAGACTGATTAAGCTTATTTTGACATTATTGCCTAGCTACTTTTGTTCAATACAAATTAAGATAGTAAAAGTGAAATAAGATAGAATAAAATGCTTCGCTGGGTGCAGCTTGATACGACCGCAGAGGTCGAACCCTGAACAGTTGGGGCACGTATGGTCACAACATTCAAGCTTGATACAGCTCTGAATTTGGATTGTGATTAAATATTTGACACAGCATAGGTTTCTGACACAGAAAAAATGTGGTCTAAGAACTTGATTTTTTTTAATTTACCTATTATGGTCCAATTTCCAAAATCAAAATACATATTTAGATTCAGCATATCAAAGAACCCCATATATTCAATTTTTGTTGAAATCAAACAAAGTTTAATTTTGGACCCCAACTTGGACAAACTTTAAAACTGGGCCCATAATCAAAAATCTAAATACACGGTTAGATTTGGCATATCAAAGAACCCCAATAATTCAATTTTTGATGAAATCAAACAAAGTTTAATTTTGACCCTTTTGACCTCAATATGAACCAATTTGATAGCGGGCCCAAAAATAAAAAATCTAAATACATGGTTAGATTCAGCATATCAAAGAACCCCATATATTCAATTTTTGTTGAAATCAAACAAAGTTAAATTTTGGACCCTTTTGACCTCAATATGAACCAATTTGATAGCGGGCCCAAAAATAAAAAATCTAAATACATGGTTAGATTCAGCATATCAAAGAACCCCATATATTCAATTTTTGTTGAAATCAAACAAAGTTTACTTTTGGACCCCAATTTGGACAAACTTGAAAACTGGGCCAAAAATCTAAAATCTAAATACATGTTTAGATTCAGCATATCAAAGAACCCCATATATTCAATTTTTGTTGCAATCAAACAAAGTTTAATTTTGGACCCCAACTTGGACCAACTTTAAAACTGGGCCCATAATAAAAAATCTAAACACATGTTTAGATTCAGCATATCAAAGAACCCCAAGAATTTAATTTTTGTTAAAATCAAACTCAGTTTTATTTTGGACCCTTTGGACCTTAATGTAGACCAATTTAAAAAACGGGACCCAAAATTAAAAATCTATAAACACGGTTAGATTTGGCATATCAAAGAACCCCAATAATTCAATTTTTGATGAAATCAAACAAAAACCCCAACTTGGACCAAATGAAAACTGGGCCCATAATCAAAAATCTAAACACATGTTTAGATTCAGCATATCAAAGAACCCCAAGAATTCAATTTTTGTTAAAATCAAACTCAGTTTTATTTTGGACCCTTTGGACCTTAATGTAGACCAATTTAAAAAACGGGACCCAAAATTAAAAATCTATAAACACGATTAGATTTGGCATATCAAAGAACCCCAAGAATTCAATTTTTGATGAAATCAAACAAAGTTTAATTTTGGACCCTTTTGACCTCAATATGAACCAATTTGATAGCGGGCCCACAAATAAAAAATCTAAATTCATGGTTAGATTCAGCATATCACAAAAACCCATACATTCAATTTTTGTTGAAATCAAACAAAGTTTAATTTTGGACCCCAATTTGGACCAACTTGAAAATTGGGCCCATAATCAAAAATCTAAACACGTTTAGATTCAGCATATCAAAGAACCCCAAGAATTCAATTTTTGTTAAAATCAAACTAAGTTGAATTTTGGACCCTTTGGACCTTAATGTAGACAAATTTAAAAAACTGGACTCACGGCATATCAAAGAACCCTAATAATTCAATTTTTGATGAAATCAAAGAAGTTTAATTTTGGACCCTTTTGACCTCAATATGAACCAATTTGATAGCGGGGTCCAAAAATAAATAAAATGCTTCGCTGAGCGCAGCTTGATACGACCGCAGAGGTCGAACCCTGAACAGTTGGGGCAAGTATGGACACAACATTCAAGCTTGATACAGCTCTGAATTTGGATTGTGATTAAATATTTGACACAGCATAGGTTTCTGACACAGAAAGAATGTGGTCTAAGAACTTGATTTTTTTAATTTACCTATTATGGTCCAATGTCCAAAATCAAAATACATGGTTAGATTCAGCATATCAACGAACCCGATAAATTCAATTTTTGTGGAAATCAAACAAAGTTTAATTTTGGACCCCAACTTGGACCAACTTGAAAACTGGGCCCATAATCAAAAATCTAAACACATGTTTAGATTCAGCATATCAAAGAACCCCAATAATTCAATTTTTGTTAAAATCAAACTAAATTTAATTTTGGACCCTTTGGACCTTAATATGAACCAATTTGATAGCGGGCCCACAAATAAAAAATCAAAATACATGGTTAGATTCAGCATATCAAAGAACCCCATATATTCAATTTTTGGTGAAATCAAACAAAGTTTAATTTTGGACCAACTTGAAAACTGGGCCAAAAATCTAAAATCTAAATACATGTTTAGATTCAGCATATCAAAGAACCCCACATATTCAATTTTTGTTGAAATCAAACAAAGTTTAATTTTGGGCCCCAACTTGGACCAACTTGAAAACTGGGCCCATAATCAAAAATCTAAACACATGTTTAGATTCAGCATATCAAAGAACCCCAAAAATTCAATTTTTGTTAAAATCAAACTAAATTTAATTTTGGACCCTTTGGACCTTAATGTAGACCAATTTAAAAAACGGGACCCAAAATTAAAAATCAAAATACACGGTTAGATTTGGAATATCAAAGAACCCCAATAATTCAATTTTTGATGAAATCAAACAAAGTTTAATTTTGGACCCTTTTGACCTCAATATGAACCAATTTGATAGCGGGCCCACAAATAAAAAATCTAAATTCATGGTTAGATTCAGCATATCACAAAAACCCATACATTCAATTTTTGTTGAAATCAAACAAAGTTTAATTTTGGACCCCAATTTGGACCAACTTGAAAATTGGGCCCATAATCAAAAATCTAAACACGTTTAGATTCAGCATATCAAAGAACCCCAAGAATTCAATTTTTGTTAAAATCAAACTAAGTTGAATTTTGGACCCTTTGGACCTTAATGTAGACAAATTTAAAAAACTGGACTCACGGCATATCAAAGAACCCTAATAATTCAATTTTTGATGAAATCAAAGAAGTTTAATTTTGGACCCTTTTGACCTCAATATGAACCAATTTGATAGCGGGGTCCAAAAATAAATAAAATGCTTCGCTGAGCGCAGCTTGATACGACCGCAGAGGTCGAACCCTGAACAGTTGGGGCAAGTATGGACACAACATTCAAGCTTGATACAGCTCTGAATTTGGATTGTGATTAAATATTTGACACAGCATAGGTTTCTGACACAGAAAGAATGTGGTCTAAGAACTTGATTTTTTTAATTTACCTATTATGGTCCAATGTCCAAAATCAAAATACATGGTTAGATTCAGCATATCAACGAACCCCATAAATTCAATTTTTGTGGAAATCAAACAAAGTTTAATTTTGGACCCCAACTTGGACCAACTTGAAAACTGGGCCCATAATCAAAAATCTAAACACATGTTTAGATTCAGCATATCAAAGAACCCCAATAATCCAATTTTTGTTAAAATCAAACTAAATTTAATTTTGGATTCTTTGGACCTTAATATGAACCAATTTGATAGCGGGCCCACAAATAAAAAATCAAAATACATGGTTAGATTCAGCATATCAAAGAACCCCATATATTCAATTTTTGGTGAAATCAAACAAAGTTTAATTTTGGACCAACTTGAAAACTGGGCCAAAAATCTAAAATCTAAATACATGTTTAGATTCAGCATATCAAAGAACCGCACATATTCAATTTTTGTTGAAATCAAACAAAGTTTAATTTTGGGCCCCAACTTGGACCAACTTGAAAACTGGGCCCATAATCAAAAATCTAAACATATGTTTAGATTCAGCATATCAAAGAACCCCAAGAATTCAATTTTTGTTAAAATCAAACTAAATTTAATTTTGGACCCTTTGGACCTTAATGTAGACCAATTTAAAAAACGGGACCCAAAATTAAAAATCAAAATACACGGTTAGATTTGGAATATCAAAGAACCCCAATAATTCAATTTTTGAT